ACACACACACACACACATGCACCGTCCTTTCATTCTATTCCCCCATCGGCGCGGCTTCTCTACTTGAGGTCCACAATCATGATGGTCATGTTGTCCGTGCCCTCCGCATGCGCAAAGAGGCCACCGTTCTCCGCAGGCGGTGCCAAGCACTCACGACAAATCTCCTCGCATATCTGTTTGTTGCTCTTGCCTTCGTGCTTCTTGCTGAGCACGTGTTCCACCAGCTCGTCGTTGCTGAGGACGTCGAAAATGCCATCGCAGGCAAGCACCACCCATGCGTCCCCGCTCTCGCGCTGAAGACGAATAACGTCCGGCATGGCGATGACCTCCTGCTCCGTTGGGCTGCGGCTCTTCTGTGCCTTGTACGTGAAGTCGCCCATCGCCCGGCTCATCGCGAGCTGCCCATTCACGCGGTTCTCCGACACGCTGCCGCCCGCCGCCTCGATACGGGCCTTCTCCTGTTCATTCTCCGGCTTGTGGTCGTACGCGAGTGGGAACGCGGCGCCGTTGCGGCACAGCACCGCGCGGGAGTCGCCGACGGAGGCGCACGTGATGAACGCTGGCGTGACGTGTACCGTGACCGCTGTGCACCCTGACTCGTCGGGCAGCCCCTTCTCTAAAACGCTATCCGCCTCCATGTACACCTTTTCGAAGTCCACCGTGGACGTCCCATCGGCCGTGCGCGTGGCGTATGTTCTTGCCATCTTTGGGATCAACTCGCGGCACTTCGTCGCGCACCCCTTCCCCGAGTGACCGTCGAAGACGCAGAACAGACCCTCCTTGCTGTCCGACGCGCCATCGGGGAAGACTACGTCAACGACGTGCTCGTCCTCCATGTTGAGTCGCCAGCCCTGCATCGCCCCAACCGCTACATCAAAGTTTGGATTCCGCGTCTCCGTCTCGCTGTGGAATTCCGTATTGGGCGCATCAAGAAAAGGGCGCTGCGCGGTCATGAACTGCTGCAGAATCTGCTGCAAGTGTTGATGCTTCTGCTTTCGTCGCAGCATCATATCAAATTCCTCCTCGATTCCTTTCGACTTCTCATTCTTTTCCTTCTGCCGCTCCTCCCGCTCCTTGCGCACCTTTTCGTGCTCCATTTGCTTCGCCCTCTTCATCCCGATGGCTGCGGTGGCCTTGGTGATTTCCGCCAGCACACGCTCAAACTCGTCACTCTCATCTTGTTTCTTGTTCTTTCCATGAGCAACTTTAGCGTTTCTGCCGTTGTTATTGTTATTGTTCTGGGCAGACTTGCCTTTGCTCTTCTTGGTGTTGGGCGGCATAGATATATATAAATATACTTAATATATATATAGCTATATATCTCTATACTTCTCTCAGCCTCGCTGCCCTGCGGCCACCCCCTTCGGTTCTATTCTTGTTTCCTGTTCCCCTTCCAAGCCGCGCGAACGGAGCGACGTCACACACAACAAGCAAACAAAAGAGCCAAAGAGAGGAGGCAAAACAGAAGCAAGGGATCGGACACGTTCACCGCGCCTATCAGGCACTCCCTCCCGGTGGAACCCACAATTGGAGTGGGAGAAAAAGGAACATGACACACAAACAGAGGAGGGCGAAGCAGCGGGATATGGCACACACACACACATACACATACACAATGGCGGAGAGAGGGGCAGCGAAGCGGAGGGAGAGCAAAGCGTGTTGGGTTTTGGTTTCCCCCCACCCCCCTGAGAGCGGTGTGAAGAGGGGACCGCTGCATTTTTTTTTTTACCTTTCATTTTTTTTTCGGTTTTTTCTTCTTCGTTTGTATTCTTGTTGCATCTCCACTCAAGAATAAACGCAATCAGCAATCGAAGCACCGGGAGGGCCACAGAAGAGATTTGTGCACGAGGCGAGGGCGGGCGGGACGGGACGGGACGGGACGCGAAGACAACAGGAAGCTGCAGCCGCAACAGCAGTCGGGGGAAGGGGCACAACAACAAAGGTAAAGCAGCCACCCTCTCTCACACACACACACACACAGGGAACCAAAAGCAAGACAGCAACCACAAAGCGAAGCACACAAATAAAATGCGGAAAAGGAGAGACATGCACAAAAATACCACACAAAAAACCAGTAAAGGAAAAAAAAAGGGAGACGCGAAGGGCAGCAACGCCCAATGGAGACGGTGCCGCCCCTTCACACCCCCAACCGCTTCTCCCCGGCCCAGTACTACCACCCCGCGTTAACTGGCTCATACCCATGCAGACCCACGTGCTTATACAGACATGCTTCTTTCTTCTTCCTCCGCTTCTCCTTCAACGAGAAGCGGCCCGATGTAACTACACTTCACCTTTGAGACGATGTAATGACAGACAGAGGCACAACTCAACGCCCTGCTGCTCAATGCCACGCAGACGGTGGAATAAAGGAAATGAAACTAATGGGGATCGTGCCAATTTTCGTTCTTTTCCAATACGGCCATTCCGCCCCCGGGACTTTCGCATCCACCATGGCCGCATACTTCTTTCTTTTCTTCATGGCTTCTCGCTCTCTCTCTCACACTATTTCCCTCCTCCTTTTCGCTCAGTTTCTTTTACGTTCTCTCTCTCTCTCTCGCTCCCTATCCCCCTCCTTCTTTCGCCCCACCCCTCTCCCTGTGGTTCTTTTCACTTGCCGTCACGGATCTCATTCCTACTACTCCCATTCTCTCGCTGCTTCTCTCTGAACCCCCTTCGTTTTGACACAGTTGCCAAGCCACACTCCCATTCCTTCTGTCACTGCCGCACCCACATGAAACGAGTGGCGTGAAGGACACTGCGCCATCCGATCATTGTTTTATTTTTTTCCCTCTCGTGGGATTTTGTTCTTCCTGCCGAGGGCCCTGCTGTCCCAACAGAGAGCAGCACAAAAGGGTACAGTTACACATTTCAAGTGTGTGGTGAGAAATCCATGAGACCAAAAAAAGATATCCCGGCACTATATAAATAGATATGCTCGTATATTATATTATATATATATATAGTTTTTTTTGGGTGGGGGGCACATGCCTCTTCCACAGATATAGAGCTGCTCTTTTTTTTTTGTTCTCTTCCTCCCTTGTGTGCGGGAAAAACTAGCAAAAAAAAATGTCGGCCTCAACTCACCTCAGCTGCTATACAGCCAAGCACCATCTTCAACTGCCCGAGAGCAGACTCCCAGTGTATGTCTTTACTTCTCCCATGTTTTCACCCACGTCGCTTACTCTGCGCATGTGTGTGGGTATATGTCTACGGGGAATAAAGAAGGGAAAGAGGGATGGGGTGGTGCGTCGTTAGAAGAGTCTGCTCTGCGTTTGCGCTTGCACCGTGGTCTGACCGAGTAGCAGAGAGAAAAAAAAGAAAAAAAACTACAACGAGGGAGGCAGAGTGACACCTATGTGAATATGAAGTAGATATGCACGCACCACACCAGTTTCAATGACGTTACTTACACCCCTCCCCACGAGGCGGCGCCTGCGGCTGCTGAGGAACCGCAAGCAGTTCCTCTGGTTTCTGCTGCTGCTGCTGCTGCGCACGGTGGTGGTGTAGCTGCTGGTCCGACACCCACAGCGGCTCCAAAAACGGATGCCGCAGTGCGTCGTGGCAACTCATTCGTTCCGACGGCCTGTACTGCAGCAAGCGACTTAGAAAGTCCTGAAATTGACGGTATGCCTCTTCGCTGTGCCCTGGCTGTCCTTTGCGTGAACCGCGAGGCCCACCCGTCGTGACACCCAGAACGCTCTCTAGTGAACGCTTTGGGAGCGGCGGCTCCTTGAGCCTGTATCCTGAATCCGTCTTCTCGAAGAGCTTCGCTGTCTTCGGCGACGCCTCCAACATATCTACCGGCATCGGCCCAAGCATGGCCTCAAAACGAGCAAGCTGTGCCGCCTCTGTTCGCCCATCAAAGGGTGGCATGCCAGTGTGTAATTCAATGAGCACACATGCCAGTGACCATCGATCAATAGCTGTTCCGTATTCCAAATACATTATCACCTCTGGGCTACGATAGTAACGGCTCTGGATGTACCTGTGAACAACTTTGTTCAAGTAGCACGCCGAGCCGAAGTCAATAAGACGGATGCCGCTACGATTTTGGTTCTTCAGTAAGATATTCTCTGGCTTGATATCACAATGAATAATGGGACTCGGCTTCACTTGTTCCAGCTGGTAGAGGCACTGAACCAACTGGTACGCAAACTTACGCACCAAATCTAGCGTGACACCGTGATAGCGAGTGCACTTGATGAGCTGGTACAGATTGAAGCTGAGAAGCTCAAACACTAGCACAAGGTGACCCTGCCAATCAAAAACCTTCAACAACTTAACAACAAGGTGATTAAGATTGGGATTGGTGTTCAACTTTAGCAGAATATCCAGCTCTAGTTTTGCTTGGGTGCGGAAACTGAGGCCGTGGCGAGTTATTTTGAGCGCCACGTTCTCGCGACGCTTTTCGTCGATGCAGCGAAGGACGGTGCCGAAACTACCTTTACCAAGCACCTCCTGGACGGTGTATCGGTTAAATATCTCCTCACCGGAAAGCACGAGGTAGTGACCCTCCTTATCATCAAAACCATTATTGTACTTTGGTCCCGGAACCTCCATTCGCCGCTTCCTACAATACGCTTCGTTTACTCTCTTGTAGAGCGCAACTAAGTGAACGCTGAGTGCGACAGCAGGGCGGGAGCAGTTTGCTGGCGCGGCGGAGGCAACAGGCGCGGGTGCAGCGGCTGCAAGGGCCTCGGGGGCACAGCGCTCGTGGTGAACCTTGACTGTGGGTTCCACTTTACTAGGGGATGCATGATGCTGACTTTGATGCTGCTGCTGATGCTCCACTTGTCCTTGGTCCTGCTTGACTGCAACTGTGGAGCTCTTTTCCCGTGTCTGTCCACCGTTGTCGCGTGCCGCCTCCACCGTCAGCGCCGCGGCCTCCACAGTAGTTTTTGATGGGCTCTCATAATGATTCCCATGATTGCTTTGATTTGCTGCCACAAGTCTGTCCCTCGTTGCCCCATTAGGTGAAGACAGCCCTCCTTTGTTTCCCACCTTCCCTTGAGGTAGTTTCTCTTCTACATCGCGTTCTTGAACGGGTTCCGACGACGCAGCGCAATCAACGTCAGTAATTGCCGCCGCCCCCGCCACACCATCGCGCACGCCCCCCGCCGATGCGTCTGCAGCCAACACCTGTGCCTTCTCAGTTTTGGAGAGAGGGGTAGGGGTGAGTCTGCCAGCACCAGACCCGCCATTCGCGCAAGGGTCTCTATGGGCTGGACCACCTCCACCGTTAACGCCGTGGTCCCAGTTCATGCCACGCGAGGGCCTTGGGTTTGCCCGCGACGTTGGCATCAACGGGGCACCTGCCCGACGCCTGCCTCCTGGGCCGTACAAGTNACGCGAGGGCCTTGGGTTTGCCCGCGACGTTGGCATCAACGGGGCACCTGCCCGACGCCTGCCTCCTGGGCCGTACAAGTTAGAAGCCCCAAGCCCTCCTAGACTGCGCACGCTCGGCTGCGGGTGCGGGTGCTGCTGCTGCTGCTGAGGGGGCAGGATCTTCACAGCAGGTGAAGAAGACGACTCCGAAATGTGCCGGTGCGCTGCCTCGGTCCCTTTGCTACAGCTGCTTGTATGGCGTTCGAGCGGCGCTTCCGCAGATGCGTTAGTACTCATCCCTACTCAGAAATCCGCACAGAAAACACAATCACACCGCGTAGGGGAGTGGAATGCAACGCTGTATCTAGCCAGCCCCCTAGATGACGGGGAGAACTGAGCGTATGTGGCAAGCTGGCCAAAAATATTTGAGAGAACAACACAGCAGGCGACAAAAAAGAAACCGCACTGACGAAAGATATGCCGATGACACCCACTCAAAGGAAATCCCTCCCCCACTTTCTATCTAGAAGCCGCTGAAACAATAACAAAAAAAAAAGCGTCCTCTTGTGACAGGTGCGCGAGGAGGCACAGAGCAAGAGGGGGAGTGGGCCGCGATGAGTCCCTCAGCCTCGCTTGCAACCTACTACTCTGAGCACCCTTGAAAGATGCCTCTGGATCTCCTCAATCTTGCACGGCCGTAGTGGAAAAGAAAGAACGAGGAAAGACAGCATAGAGAAAAGGCGGCAATGAAGTGATGAGCAACAGCATCAGACAAAAATAAAAAGGGCTATTTGTCAATGTGGTGACACGCAAATGTAGTGATTTCTTTTTGTGTCTTTTAAAGGCTTCACTTGCCAATCAGGCAAGATGTCTCCCTTTGTTTCTGGTGAAGTTCCGTATTTGACTTATATACATACGTCACTGTTGGCCTCCACGCGAGGCATGCCCGTCACGCAACCGGCAACGATCTCGGTCGGCTCTTCGAGCGCAGCGATACTGCAGTCTGCTGCCGATGTTGCGTGCCACCTCTTTCCCCCTCGAACAGTAGGCTGCGGGATACACTCCTGTGTGAACGAAACACCGCGGGGTCAAGCGGAGGTCTCCCAGCGGAGGCGCGGCGTGGTCGTGCGTGCAACAGCGACACGCGCTGCAAGACACAACTTGTCACCCGTTGTGCTGACGCCGGCCGTGTGGGTCTGCGCGGCGCCTCACTTGAGACGCAGGGCCGCGTCATGTGCGCTGTGTCACCACACACAACCGGCTCGCATGTGTCTCTGTTGCCCTTCTTGTTCTTGTCCTTCTTCTTGATCCTGCTGCTGCTGCTGCTGCTGCTGTTGTTGTTGTTGTTGTTGTTGTTGTTGTTGTTGATTTTGTTGGTGCTGGTGTCGTTGATGTCGTCGCTGCCGCAGTGCACCAACGCAGCGTCAAGGCGGCAACGGTACTCTGCGAGCAACGTGCGGCAGCGCCTGTTTTCCTCGCGCAGCTGCTCCTTCTCCTTGTCAGCAGCCTCCATCTTCTCCACGATGCTGCCGAGCTGGTCACTGTCTTTCTTCAGCTCCGAGAAGCGCATTAAAATGCGAAGCCGCTGCAGCTCACGTTCCTTGTCACCCCACGCGCGCAGCTCTAGCTCTAAACGCCTCACCTCCAACCACGCCACCTCTGCGTCATGCTTCGCTTCTGTGCACGCTTCCTGCAACTTCACAGCATCTGCCTTAAGTGATTCCACCATCGCAACCGCCTTCTTTTCCTCAGACACCCGCACCGCCTCAATTGCCGCCTCGTGCTGTCGGTGCGCTACCGCAAGTTCCTCCTGTAACTTGGCCTGGCACTGCTGCAGGTGCTCCATACTGTTGCTCAACTCTTCTAGCTTTAGACTCTGACATCGCATCTCATTGCCTCTAATATCTAACTGACGCTGCGCCTCATCGAACTCCTCGCGTAACTTGGCATTTTCTGTAGTCAACTGGTGAATGTGTTCTTCTTCTATTTGCTTTGGCTGAAGCTGCACGCCGTGACTGCTTAGCTCGGCGGTCGGTTCTGCCTGATTCTTTCCGCCCATCACGGCCGTGATGTCCACAAAGATGATAGGCTCAACAGGCAAATCGGCGTTCGCTGGCATCTTAGCGCGGTCATCGCACTTCGGGCTGTGAAAAATCGGCGCCTCCTCCGCTACATCCACCTCTTCACTCCCACTTCTCTGAGCAGCGGTACCGTTGCTCACACTTGTACCTTCCTTACCCGGGAAAACAAACGATGCCGATGTCATCCACTCCTCAAAGTCCCCCTGGTGAAACTCTGACGATAGTTTTTCAAGCATTACCATGGCACCGTTCGCGTCTGCCGCCTGCGTCCACTCGCTGCGCCTCCTTCGTGTGATTTGCCCCTCGCCAAAAACTGGTTTCTGCTGCAACCCAGGGCAAGCGACCGAATGACTTTCAACTTGTTCGACGTTCTCTGATAGCGCCGCACACTCGCAGGCGGAAAGCAGCGCATTCTGCAGAGTCTGCACCCTCTCCTGCAAGTTATGAATAATTGAAATGTACACAGCGGTGTCCGGATCACCTCCTTCACCGATAGGCACAGTGTCGAGACGGCGCGAGCACCTCTCGCAGACAGGAGAGCTGATGCTCCCGCTATCCCGGCTCGACGAGGCGCCGTCGCGGCTGCCCTCTGTGTCAGCAGCACTCTGTGCGGCGCACTCCTCCTTGGCGGCAGACAGCGGCTGTTCGAGCACCCACACACCCGCGGGCATTCGCGCACGCGACCGGACCCCCCTTCTTCCTTCACTCAGGAGAAGAAGAAGAAGCGTATGAGAGGCGTAAGCAACAGAACGGAACGCAATACATGACCAATGTCCTCCCATAACATTCAGCACACGGTATGAAGCTTGGAAGAGAAGCACCGCCACGCCCTTGAAACAGAGGCGCGACAACACAAAAGACAAAACAACTTTTCTTACAGCTCTCTTTTTCACTCCCTTCCCATTGCCCTCCTCCTCTAATTATTCGCAATACAAAACCAAACTAAAACAAAATGATGGAAGAAGAAGAATGTCCCTCAAAAAAGGTCGCTACTCGTCATTTCCCTACATTTGTAAAATGCCGACGTCGCACGTGTTGGCGCTTGGCGGGTGGGAGGAGGCGCATATGCCTCAGGGCGCAAACAGCTGCGCCCGCTCAAGGCTCAAACTTTTCCGCCCGCTGGACGAAGTCCGGCGGGGGAATGATCCACCCCACCGCGACGTACTTGCTGCGCAGCCGTTCCTCCCAATCGCTCAGCGTGACGGTGTGTGGCATGGAGAGCGTCGTCCAGTCTGCGTTGGCCTCTTCGCGTCCTACCTTCATTTTGCCCAAGTGCCGCGAGCTGTCACGGCCCGCGAAGTCGTTGTACGGTGCATTGGCACCATAAAAATCCGTGGAGCAGTTGTAAATGACACCCCGCACGCCGACAAACGCAAATGGCTTCTTGACCCCGTCGTATTCACTCAGCTCCTCCAAAGTGTAGCCGCGGGGAATGAAAACAGACTTCGGTGCCTTGCCTACGAGATGTTGCCGCTTGCGCACGAACGACTGGAAAAATATCAGCATGACAGTGCCAATTATGAAAGAAAGAAGGGCATGGAAGAATGTAAAGCCCAGCTGGAAGTCAAAAGCCATTTTTATTT